GTGCGTTGCTGATTGAACTAAAAATTTTCCCAGCCACTTTTGCAAAATTGTCAGTGTCTTAAATTTACCTTGTGACCTGACCTAGAAATTGCATTCCTAGGTATCTAAGCAAAAGAAGCCACGTGTCTGCACATAAACTTGTGTATCACTGTCCCTAGTAGTATTATTCATAATAGTTAAACGTAAAAACAACTCCAACACCCACCAACTGGTGAGTGGATAAATAAAACAGGATATATCTATATACAATGACATACTTTCTGTAATAAAAAGGAACAACGTTCTTAGACATTCTCCCACACTGATGGACCTCAAAAATAGCATGCAAAATCCATGAAAACAGACACAATACAATTTACTGTACAAATTCAAATCCGTGAATTGTCCAGGTAGGAAAATCTATGGAGACAATGAGCAGTGCTCACCCAAGGGATAGAGGTGGACAGGAATGGCTGTGAGAGCTAATGGTCACAGGAGATCTTTGGGCACTAATGGAAGTGTTCCAAAATTGGATTGTGATGATGGCTGCACAATATTTTAAATATAATAAGAATCACCAAATTCTACACTCAAAGTAAATGAGTTTTAGGACATGTAAGTAATTCCTCCATAAAGCTGGTGAATGCTTAAATGAATGAATAAATCAGTAAGTAAACAGATAGCTAGAGAAATCAGTTGTGCTTACTGGAAATCCAGTGAGGAGGTCACTGTGACAGCCTACATGAAAGACGATGGCTGATGCTGGTTGATAGCCTACAGGAAGAGAACAGGCAAAGTCTAAGACATATTTAGGAATTAGAATGAGCAAGAATGGAGGATCGATGGAGCATGGTCATTTTGGATTAGACTCTCAGCTCTAGAAAGGCCAAACTACTTGTGAGTACTTGAACACTCCTCTTCTTCATCTTCCTCTTGGTGTGCTTAACACTAGGCTCTTTTAGAGTGGCTTGTACACCTTCCTCTACCTTGTATAACTATGATTGCCCTTTGAGACTCAAATCAGGTGTGATCTCCTCTTGGAAGCCTTCTCTGGCTCTCATCACCTCTACGTGCATTCCTTGAACTTTTTCGTCTTATCATTTTCTTGCACACATTAGTTTACATATTCATGACTCTCTCTTGATAACATCTGTCAAATATCTGATACTTGGGGTCTTTGTCTCCCTCAAATCATCCCCACAAGGCATGACTAACTGACCACATCCTTTCCTCCTGAGGCAGGTTACCCCTGTTTTTTTGTAGACCTAGGTATTAAACCCAGAAATCTGCATTAAGATATTTTCTCAGCCCTTTATTTTTCATGTTTTATTTTGAGATCAGGTGTTGCTAAGCCAGTAGGTCACCCAGGACAAGCTTGAAATTGTGATTCTTCTGCTTCAGCATCCCACATGTCTGGGATTGCAAATGTAGATACAGCACCCCTTTAAACAGTGACACAAGTAGCTCTATTAACCAATTGTTATTGAGAGAGCTATATAATCTTTGGGTTATATCTGCTCCTTAATGTGACATCCTCAGATACAAATGTTATTTGTCTAAGTGTCCCCGACATCAGACACATTGAATAGATTACAATAAATGAGTAAAATCCTTTCCAGGGAGGTATGTCCAGATATATCTAAACTTGATATACAAAGCAATTATCCCTACCTACCATATTTCTTCTATAATAATGGCTTCAGATTTTCATCCTTAGCAAGAAATTTGCTGAATATCAACATAATTTCATCCCATTTTTTCTACTAAATCCTGTGTTTTGTTGAGTGTAGGCATGGTCCATGGTCTTCCATCATAAGCCACCAAACTGCAGTCCATTGTGGGGTCTGTTATTTACAGAAGTCTTTGTATTTCAGACATTATTCCTTTGAGAGCTAAAGCTTTCTAAGTCAGGCATCAAGGTAATGATTTAGTTATTTATTCCTTTGAACCAACTACTTTAGTGACTCACTTTTGTCTCTAACCCATGCTATTATGCTCTAATCCATACATTAGTTCCCTTCAATGCAGATGACACAGAATGTTGACTTAGGGTGATTTTGCAATATGCACATTAACAAAGACTTTGTGAGCAGGAAGAATACCAGTTATTCAACCAACTTTAAGAAAATAGCTGAGTGGGAGACCAGCTTAGCAGGGTGTTAAACATCCATTAATAATGGGAGAGAGACAAACTTGACGGTTTTGATTTTAGTTCAGATAAGCACTTCCAATTTAGGGCTCCCCTAACTGTATTTCTGAATTTCTGTTTGAGGAAATCTGGCCTGAGTACCCTGGATGTTCACCTGTCTGAAGATAAGACAAACATTTTTATAGTAGCTTAGGTAACAATAACTCTCATGTAGTACACATTAAAATTATTGTACATTTGAACTTTGGGGGATAATCCCATTTTCAAGAATCTGACCCTGTTTTTCCATATAGCTATGTGTCTCCAATTACCTGTACTGACTTTTGGTTTTGAACATAATGCCACTATAGCTCGAAAATTTACTATATGCCCACTTGGAAACTTTAGCCAATCTAGTTCCACTCTCAGGGCAAACATCCTTACTGTTTTCCTTTGCTTTTTGCTTCCTACAATATCTTGTATTTGCATTTTCCTCTTTCCCCACCAACCTATAAGTTCTTTGTAAACCAAGACTGTGCTGTTTAATTTATCTTCAATGAGCACCTCTCCATTTCTGTGTTCAGCAAGTGGTACTAAAAAATTGTGATATATATATATATCTCCAATATATATATTTATATAAAATATATTTTAAAATATATATTTATATATATCCAATATTAGAATTATTTCTTCCTAGTTTGTGGGGAGTTTTACCACTGTTGAAATGGTTATTTGCTTCTCATTTTACAAAAAAGAACTCATTTTCTAATATGTACTATGTGATTACTATATGTCCTTCACAGTGATAGTTACTTTTCATGGGTGTTCTCCGTAGTACTCACAAGCCATTTAAGACATAAGCACTATTATTGTTACCCCTTTAAAGATAAGAAAATTGAACAGAGTGAAATAACGCTGCTATGATCACACTGACCATTGAGTTGGTGGTAAAGACTACACTCAAAACTGGACCTGTACCCTGAACCCCATAAGTTCCCTTTCATTTTACTTTGGGGAAGACATCTATTTTCATGCTTCACATTTTAGGAAGAGAAGACAAAAGTTTGAGTTTAGTTTGATTTAGTTTCTTATGCATCACTCGTCCCCAGGAAAATTTAATCCTTTCTTATGGGTGCTGAGGTGTGTGTCTTTCCTGTTCTTGATGTCACAAATCTAACTCATCAGCAAACCCTGTCATCTCCACCTACAAAATTGATCCAGAGTCTCACCACTTCCCATGATTTCCATTGCTACCAGCCTGCTCCCAGCTAGTGGCAACTCGAGATTCTCGTGTCATCCACACTCTTATCAGTGTCTTTCTTGCATCCCTGCTGACAAATCCCTAGCAGAAGTCAGAGTGTTCTTTCAAAAAAGGAAATGAACAAGTCATCCCATGTCACACACTGTCCCTAATCCCAGGGACAGATTGAGATCACAGTAAAGGGACAGATCTTTCCAATGGTGCTACACCATTTGTAACCCCTGTCCACCCTCACTTTTGTGACGCTGCCCTCTCCTACTCTGCCTGGCCTGCTCTCTACCTCAGCTATGCCACCTCTTTCTGCACCTCCAACTCGTGGCCCGTTCCCAGATCTTTTGTATTAATCATCACAAGAGTCTTGAAATCTCTTCTCAAGGAGAAATGAATAGATTTATTTCTCACTTTCTTCAACTTTTTAAAATTAAGTCTCCCTTTTTATTGAGGCCTCTACTGATTGTAAACTTTTAAGTTATTATGCACTCTTACTTTTTTTTTTCTTTTTAACGTTTATGTACTGCCTAAACACATAGCATCTAATGTACTACAGAGTTTGGTTATGTGTTTAATGTCTCTTTTAACCAAGTAGAATGAGACACACCCTGAGGCCAAAGTTTTCTATTTGGTACATTCCGAAAATCCTCTCTAGGACCGGGGTCATAGCATTGCATACAATAGGCATTTTAAAAATATAGTAGAATCAGAAACTCTTGTATTTTAACTTGTCATATTTTTTTACCACTGCCCTTCAAACTAGTTGAAGAAGAAATTTCAAAATATTTTAGAATTGATAATTACAACTTTATGTAGCAAAATAGCAGGAATGATTTTCTGTGGTTAATTGGTTTATTATCTTGCTAGCATTTGAGTAATTTAGATTTTCATGTAAGCTATCTACCAGTCACTTGAGAAAAATTATAGAGCTTTCCTCTAACCAAAATTGCTTTCAACCTTCTGAAATGTAGATTGGTGCTGAAACAAATTCTAGTTTACCCTTAGACTCTAATTATAGCTTTCTCAAAGACATTTACACTTAGTGTCAGGCAATCTTAATTTTACTATTGCAAAAGAAAACAGCACAATAAAGATGAAAAACACTGTCAGTTATCTTATTTCTATGAGAGACACGATGCAAGTACTTTTTAAGAAAATGTAATACAACGATGTTCGTATTTTTGACTGTGTATTACACTGTAGTTAATCAGATGCTGAATCCATTCTTTGTGAGTTTTATATAAAATTCTTCAAACTTATAACTTTCTATTAGATTCCAAGATATGTATTTAAAAGCATAAAATTGGTGATAGTTGAGCATATTCTTTTACAATGATTAATGAAATTATTGAACCAAATACTGAAGAAATGCCAAAGTATAAATCTTGCATATATATTTTTGAAGCTAAGCTGTTGTCCATATGAATAAGAAGCAAACTTTTTTGGTTATTTTAAATTCACCTGCTCATTTGTGCATTCACGCAAGCCCTCCCCACTCCGTAACTATTATATTCAGTGTATAATTTACCCTAAGAATGTACAAAGTATAAAAATAAGATCTAGAATTTCAAAGAATGTATTAACTAGATAGAAATATATCACCTTCATTATGACTTTTGCTTTCTTTTACTAGACATTAAATACTGAAAAAAATTGGGCTGAACTAGGCGAGAAGACAAGGAATGAGGAACTAACTTACACTGACTTTGGACACTGGTATTCATCTTGGGTCTCCTCCAAAGCCCTCTGTGTTAAAGGCTCGGTCCTTTCCTTGGTGCTATGGGAAAGTGGCACATGTAAGAGGTGGAACCTAGTGGAGAAAGTTCTGTCACTGGGGGACATGCCCTTGAAAAGGACATTGGGACTCTAGCCTCTTCTCTTTTCTTTCCAAGGAGGCTGCCATGATGTACTCTCCTGCTACCGCATCCAAGTGACCTAAGGTTGAAAACTCTGGAATGATGAGTCATGATAAACCTTTCCTTCATATAAGTTGTTGACCTCAGGTATTTTGTAACAGTGATATAAAGATGAGTACTAACACAAGACCCTTGAATGGGGCAAATTTCACTCTGAAAATGAAATCATCTGTATCATCACTGTCTAAATGAGGTTCAGATAGATGTGTTGAAATAAAGCCACCTCTACTCCTGCTTCCTTTCTCTAACATCTTTCAAAATCCTTTCTATTTTTTCTATATTACACATGTGATAATGCTGCACACAAGTATTCTGTTGTTTCTTTAAAATACACTGTAGCCCTCTGCCTCACTGAGAGAACCATCATTTTCCTTCAGGAAAGCCTCCTTCATGTCTGCTTTAGGAGATGGATCTGTGCCAGTACTCCCAAGACTTCCCTCCCGCTCTTTTGTCCTTCTCCTGATATCACACATATGTATTTTAAATTACGGAAATCATCTGCTGATTTGTCCATTTTCCCTGTTTAAGACTGTTAGCTGCTTAACAGGCTTGTACTATGGCTACCTTTCCTTTGAGACAGCTCATGTAGCACAATAGTGGCACTTAGCTAGCTGTTTCATAAATATTAACTAAATAAATAAGTTGCATGATATCAAATTGCAACTTAAATATTTGAATTAAGGACATAGTAAAGGGAGTAGTTAATTTTTAATAATTCACCAATGCTTAGATAAACAGGCTTAGATGCTTTCAAAATATCTTAGTTGACAAGGGGGTTAGGGCACATTAATGCATGCCCAAGGTGTGTAAGACTTTGCATAAGTAAGTAATTTACTGTATAATTTTTTGTACTTTTGCTGTCCAAATATCCAAAAAATTAGGTTGAATAACCTTGAAGAGAGTTGAAATTAGGAAAAATTAAAAATATGACCCAAGAAAGACAGAAGAAGGAAAGTATGTAAAAATGTACTTGTTCAGTCTTGCTACTATTTCATGGAGTCAGTCTTGGTTTAAAGCATAATAAGCAGACCCTGGCTTGTCATACCTACTTTCTCCCAGGGATTTGAAACCATAATGAAAGCATTTTAACTCAGTGGTAACTGGATTAGAGTAATGCAAGAACCTGCCACTTTGGGACCTCCTGCTTATGTCCCAGCCTGAATAAATGTGCATGGAAATTATTTTAAACTGATGGCTGTGCAGGATCACAAGTTATAGTAATGTTGACAGTCTCAGCTTGGAACCTGGCAAAAGAGCAAAAAAAAAAAAAAAAAGAGTGAAACAGGGATTGAAAACAGCTCATTTGCTGACATGAAAGCAGCACTCAGAGGTTTAGATGTACAACCTTTGCAGGTCAATGGTGACAATATTTGCAAAGTGCCACCAGCATCTTTACTGCAAATTGAAGCAGCTTAATATGGATACTTGCTGCAAATCTCAAGCAATGTGATTTCTTTTCCAGCCTCCAGTACTCGCCAGAGGCCATAAGAAGAAGTTTCATAGACTTACCGTGTATGAAAGGACACTAAATCTTCTATCTCCTGCAGGCCAAATAGGAAATGAAAAGGTAGAGTTGTCACATTCTGTAAGAGTTGACTATCTTGGAAGTAATCCAATAGGTTTGTTCCTTTCAAAAGCAGCTGATGTTTCCTTATAAGTTCTGCGTTCTTTATTCTACAGGTTTATTGTACTCTGTGACAGAGGCAAAACATCTGTTAGCAAAGACAAGGGAGGAGAGGGAGATTTTCCATCTTCCTTATGAACATTCACAAAGAAATACTGATAAATTTACTGTCACTATGAAGTGACAGCTTATCACTTTCCAAGATCCCTGGTTTGCAGAAGTATCAAATGGTTCATGACTACTAGAAACCGAAGTGTGAATATTCTCCACAGCAGAACTGCACCTCAGCATCAAATTTAGCTAAATGGAACCAGAAAGAGGATTCAGAAGGGATATAAACTCAGTGTTGTCATTACCCAACATTCAGTATAGTCCTAGAAGTGCAACTCCACTTCCTATAAAGGGTAGTTTTTCTTTCAAGGAAATCCTCTTGCAATCCATCATTTCACTGAACTGTATTTGGTTCCAGGGAATCAGGAAAATAGCTCAAGCCATAAAACTATTTCAACAATACCTCTAAACTGTTATGGAGTTTTGTTTCCTTTCCTCAAGAGGGATGGGTGGTGGGGTCCCTGTAAATGGATATTCTGAGGTCAGATGGGTTTACACTTGTGGCATATGGGTGTGTGACTGTGGAAGGTCAGGATTAGAGCGAGCTTACCTTGGCACCAGCCGTACCCAGAACTATCCAGAATGGGGTCTGGTGCATAACAGATATTGTTATATTGCAATTGCTTATTGGATTAGATCTTACTAGACCAATAACCAGTGTGAAGGATTCATCTGCCCGTGAATCTTTGGAAAAGTATGTCCATGGCCCCAACTACTTACAGTATGCATTCATTTATTTGTTTATTTGTTTATGAGTTTGTGTCTCATCTCCTTGCACAAGAACTGTGAAACTTTTTCAATTCACACTTTTTCACAATGTAGGCAGTTTGAATTTTCAACTCGTTTTTTCATATGTCAATGGGGTTTGTATTTGAATTTTCCTTAATTTTTGAATTGGGATTAAAATTAGTAAAGTGATTGATATACAATAGGGAAGACATGCCAAAAACCATCTATGTTTTTAATTTTGAAACTCAAATATTGGCTTGCTTGGGACTGAACCTTAGGATTATGTGATTTCTATTCTCTTGTATTTTTGTTTTACCATTTGTGTGTGTGTTCCTCTATTATCTTTTTGCTTCCTACTTTACACTTTATACATCATACCTGCCTACTCTTCTATAAAGAAATCAGTCTATGACAGTAGGTACAGTGTAAACCTCTGCCTTGATTGCAGAAATTAACCCTCAAACTTCCCCAAACATGCCAACAACAGGGAGCGATTTCAGTCTTACAATGGACTCAAGCAGCTGGTATAGTTAGAATCTAAGGGCAGCTTTTCTGTTTCTTGCTACTTTTTCCCCCTTTTCCCTCAGCAGAAGCTAAAACTTTATTATAAAACCACAGATAAGTATATCAACTGCTAGGAGTCTGGCACGTCAGAATACAAGGAAATAAGAGATAAGAGAATTTGGTCAAATACAAAAAGTACTGTGGAATTTAAACCAAATGACAGCAGATAAGGCTTTCTCTGAGTTTCTATTAAAAATGTAATAAATAAGAGATCCAAAATTTTCTCCTAGTCCAGAACTTTTGTTCCTATATTGCTTGTCACAAATGCATAGTATTTTTGTCAAAGCACAGATTCTATTCACAGTTGCAAACACATGCTCTTCTGGAGTCATGTTACAGGTATGACAGCTTCGGATTGATTTCCTATGAGTCTTTCAGCAAAGTCTAAGATTTGAATAAACAGACTTTATTTACACACTTAAGGAAGAAGCTCCCTAAGTCTGTATGGAAACCTGTGTAAAAGCAAAGAGGACTCAGTGAGATCTCCAGGAATCAGAACTCTAAATCTACAAAGGAATGTTGAGAACTTTCCTTATGATGCTCCTTAGGGAAAGAAAATACAGAAATTTTTATTTCATTGGATTATCTTATTTCCAATGTATGTAATTCTGTAAGGACCCCAAGGTTCTGTTAGTAATGATTCTTAGAGATATTTCATGATCCATTATGGGATTGAAATTGACCGAAATCAGATAGATCTTTAAAAGTGTATATGGTCCATCTCAATAAGTTTGCATAGATACAAGGAGACCATCTTGGTGCCTTTGATCTTAGGGAGAGAGGAGAGACAGGAAAATCTAGACGAGAAGAGGCCCTGCTGGCATCCGGATGGCAGGGTCTCTGGAGTCTGCCCCTTGAGTTTGATCTGTGCTCAGGTGACGGGCTCCTGTGGTGTCTGCTGCTTCTCAGAAGGGCAATTGCCCTAATCCATGAAGTGTCTCCCTGCCTAATATGGAGCATGAGCCACCCTCAGCCTCCCTCACTCCCAGTCTCTATCTGCCCAAAAGGTCACTGTATTTGGATAATACGTAGTATTCAAGCCATTTTATTTTATATCTTTTGTTCTTCCGTGATGTATGTGTGTATATGGTTTTTGTGGAGTTAGATTTATGTTTTTAAAGCATTCAGTTATAGACAGTTTCAGACTATGATGTCTATGTATCTAGTAGCTTGAAAAAAAATAGGCCAAACCTTATGTGATTCATTATATTATGCCAGCTGAAAGATTGGAACACTATTATCAATGTTCAGGAATAATTTCCATTGAACACAGGAATAGATCCTTCCTGGGTACTAAATTCAGTTCCATAAATAGGTTACATTACGCTAATAGCTCTGAGTATCAAATCATGAGTGACTGTAACTATCCACAAGCAAAACCAGAGCCATTTATGAATAGGTTGTGTGGATAATTGTGGCATTTTTAATGTCATGATTCAACACCTAATTTGTTAATAGTTCAAGTTTGAGTGCCCTGTTATTTTATAGTATCAAGTCTTAGATTTTCTAGGTAAAGAGAGATGATGCTATTCAGAAGGCATTAAGAAATCTAACTATATGTGGACCATGGATGAAGAAGATGCAGTCTTCCTAAAGTTAACTATTGAGATGCTCATATAATTATCACAGTTAAGACAGTCTAACTCTGGTGACTTAAAAAGGTACCATTTTGTAAACTATCTAGTTCTCTTACTGAAACAATTTGAGATCTGATATCAGCTGAACATTTCCACTTATTATAAATAAGAATCTCATAAATATTTGCAGCTTCTGTGCTATACTATGACCCAGTATAAGAAATGAATGTGAGACTGAATAAAGGCTGAAAACCTTACCCCTATGTTTCCTATGGTTCCTGTGAAAAAATCCACTTCAGCCTCATATCTGAATAGCCACATAGAGTTCCTTCTTGCCCTGTGCAAAAATAGCTGATTAATGACTAGCTAGAGTAAAATGAATAACGAGTGTGAGGTATGTAGACAGTATCTGCAACATGCCCTTCTATAAGTGCTGATTATCATTATCATACTTCTTACTTTTATTTGTCAATTCGGATTTCTAGGTGAGGGAACATTTATTAATCATCTACTTTTTCGGAGTCTCCTATCAAAACAAAATGTATAGAAACTGGGACTTTTGACAGACTAAGACCATAGGTCCTTACTCTTTGTGTGTTTAATTTCTAAAAATTTGACCATTTATTCTAAATTTTAAAACTGTATGCTTCTGTGTTCATAACTTTATATCACATGAGATAGAATTTCTTGACTAAAGAAATCCTGTCAGCCTCCAATTAATGTAAAAATAATTTCATGTAACATATTGATAAATAAAGCTGTGCTATAACTTGATGATGTATTGACCTCATTCATGGCTTTAAAGGTCATTCATGGGTGAATTTATGTGGGTGATTGTGTGAGTATCCATCTGCCTAGCTTCTATCTGGGTGAGTATCTTGGGAGCAAACTTGGGCCCTTCATTTTGTTTCACAAATTTTGAGTACTGGTTATACCCATAGGATTCTCTGTGAAAGGAAGAAAGAAAGAAAGAAGGAAAGAAAGAGAGAAGGAAAGGAAGGAAGGAAGGAAGAAAGAAAGGGAAAGAAAGAGGAGGGAGAGAGAAATTTTTCTTAAATTTTTAGTTATTGAAGTTAAATTCTCTAGAAATCTTTTCATACACACACAAATATATCTATATATATGACATTATTATGTCCTGATCAATTTAATCTTATCTATGATTATTTAAAGACCACTTTTGGGACTGGGTTTAGTTATGTTAGATGAAAACATTAAGTTTTGTACTTTCCTCAAAATGGAAGCATTTTGTCAATATTTTTGAGCTTTAGCATACTGTTAACTAATTATTTGGGATAGGTAATGATATTTCTGAAAGTAATTGTGTAATTATTTCAATAATTAGACAAAAGAACCATGAATGAACATTGCCAACTTTAATCTTCAGGTTTATTTACAGTAACACTCATAATAAAAAAGTGCAAAATCTACCTTGTAGTTAAATGGGGAATATATGAGTAGGAATGCAATTGATTTTAAATTTAGCTAATAAACAAAAACTAATTTAATTTTTGTCTTCCTAAGAGTAGCACCATTGATTTTATATATCATTTAAATCTGAAATCTTGGTCATAATCTTATTAAATATAATACATTATTTTTAGTAATTGGCCATTTATGGTAGCATTTAAACAATTAAATGGTTAGCTAAAACAAATCATATACCAAATTTTTGTTTGCTTTTATATTATTAAATTATCTTAATAACATAATGGAAATGTCAGTATTCATTAAGCACTTGAGCTATTTAAAATTTTAAATATTATAATAATTATGTCTTGAATTAATTACACCTAACTACTGCTTTTTTAAAAACCTAAATAGTTTCCATATTTAAGTAGCTAAGCATTTACTTAACACATAAATTCTATGTTATAATTATAGAGGACTGTAGGTGTATTATATTGTTTCATAAGAATTCTTTGCAATAAAAATTACAATAGGCTGTTTCACTGCTGTCATTTGAACAGAACTAAAGACATACAGACACACACACACACACACACACCTAGCTCATCAGGCCGTCAACATGTGTGTGTCTTTGTGTATGTCACACCCTCTAAATTCAGGTGGCCTCAAGCTGTGCCATATAATTCCAGTCTCAATTAAACTTCCCAAGGTCAGCAGTTCTGTACTGGGTCAGACATAAATAAGGCAGAGGATGGTCCTAGGGTACAGAAAAGCAATATTTATTCTTTATCCACAGTTCATGGCTATCAAATGAAACCTACCAGGGAAGAAAGACAAGAAAGGCAAACTCTCAAAAGGTAATTTCCACCTAAGCATTGCATTTGTTAATAAAATAAAATAAAATCAGTACATATATATATGTATCAAAACACAATGAATTAAAGGTACTTTGTGTGTAATATTTTTCTCAAAGAGTACAGTTTTATCCAGAGCTCAATGAAGAATATGTTGAAATGATCCCAAATCACTAACCCAGAAATCAAGAGCTCTAATTTCTAATTTTCTTTGTGTCCTGAACCAGTAATGGAAACATAGATAAATATTTTACCACTCTCATTTCCTCTTCATAAAGTGAGAAATTTAAAGTAAACAAATGTATTGTGTTTTCAAAATTGTACCTTGTACTCAAATAAGAATTCCACTTCAGTAACCTTAGCAATCAAAAATCTAAAAAACTAAATACTAGAACCTGGAGAATATACTGAGTGATATGTAATGCATAGGAATAGGTTTTTGGAATATGAAAAATTCCTGAAATAAAAGAGACAAACAAAAAGTATACGAATAAATTAACAGGTCACTCACTGAAGGGGTTATCAAGTTGCCATAAACACTTGCAAAAATGTTAAATCTCCTTATTAACTTGGGTAACGCAAATAAATGATCATGTGACGTGGTTTTACACTCACAAGTTGGTCAAAATTAGTCAACATGGCAGTGATAAGGAGGTGTTAGGAGTAAGAGTCCTATATCACACAAAGCACTGTAAGAATCACACCAGAGCTTCAGGGGTATATTGAAAAATTTGAGGAAAGCACGATAAAAACAGTTGAGCAGAATGTATGTTCTCTGAGCTTCAGGGAATTTATAGTTTCAACTTTAGATTGTGCTATATTCCCCTTCATAATGTTCAGTGCTTGCTGTAATATAAGAGGTGACTCTGGCACCCACAAGCAATTATGGACATTAAGAGGTCCTCTTTGCCATTCTCCCACAGTATCTAGCATTCAGAGGCTCACTTAGCTGCAGGAAATAGAGTTTTATCCTTATTTTTAAAAATAATGCTCAGGACTGAAGCAAGGGCCTTGAATGTGAAGTTCACGTGCTCTATTCCTGAGCTGTATCCCAGCCCCGTGATCCTCAATTGAAGCAAGAGGTGACTCAGTGGCCTATGCACTGTGACACAAGACTTCCAAACATGAACTAAGAAATAAATGCTATATGGGATAAAGAAGTTATATAATAGATAAAAGAGTGGGATGAAAATAGGAAGCACAAACTGGATTGAGGTAAAGCATGACTTTTCTAGGAAGAGGGCATAGATGTCCATCAAAAGTCAGACTAACAGATTTAGAGACTAAACTTAAACAAGATAACACAGACCACTCTAAAAAAAGTCATTTATTACTTATTTGAAGTTCACATTTAACTGGTCATCCTCTATTTTATTTGGCAATTCTACATGAAAATGATTAAGAAGTTATAGGAAAAATGGACAGTGGCATTCCTATTTAGGGAGCTTTGAAGAATTTCTGGAAATGAAAGGGAAATAATTCCTCGTGTAGTGCTTAAGAGAGTAAAAGTACTGTATAACAATTCCTCTCCCACAAGAAAGAAAGATATCTAAGAAGAAAACACTGTAGTCCTTGAGGGGAGACAAGGAGGATGGTAAGAGAGTAGCCTAAGAACCAGTAGAAGCAGATAGCTGAGAGGAGGAACCACAGTGGAAATTTTAGGTATTAAAAAATTGGAATTGAATGAACATGCATGCCAGAGAACATTTGAAAGAAGGAAGTATAAATCTTGTGAAAATAATGATTTTTCAATTCGAATTTGGATACAATTCTAAATTATGTAAATCACAACCTATGAATCATTGCTAATGGGGGTGAATGAGTGGGAAAAAGATATAAAAGCATACTAAATTTCTGAATATGTACTTCATTACTTTTGACCTAACATGCATAATCAGGGAAAAATAGACGCATATATACTTGCAGTAATTACAAGGGCAATCATTAAATTAAAGTGACAGTGTTCTGACCCAGTTGTGGACACACAGTAAAGTAAAAAGTAAAGAAACAGAGAAAGCTGAAAGTTTAGCATTCTATAATAAGAACAAATATAAAGTGACAATTATCACTGCCTGTAAGTCTCTCATTAATTAAAAATAATTTAGATTTTGAGTCAAAGGACCATATCAAAAACTTTTTTTGCTAGGATGACTCCAAAGTATGCAGTTGGTTAAAGTAGTGTGAATAGCAAATTCTTTCAATTTATCAGTGAAAATGTAAAAATCCTGACAAATAATATAATATGGCAACAGGTAAAAGATGGGAAAATGCTCTACTCATTTCTGAATGTAGGTAGCACCGATGATGTCCACGTTAGCACCGTTGTGCAAACACAGCACTACCTTTCTGGCAGTAGCCTCTGAAGTTGGCTATATACTTTTCATTTCATTAATGACATTTCTGAAGTATAAACATGAATACCAATGAATCATTTAAATTTTAGAAGCAAAATTATGAAATACAATCCTACCATATTACATTCACCAGTATGAGCAAAACAATGGTAGTATATGTTCCACTGGAATTTAATAAAAGGTAAAGAAGTGTTATCAATTGGAAATCTATTAATATGATTCATAAAATTGGCAACCAAAAAAGAAAATAAAAACAATCACCGTTACACAAACAAATACATACAAATCAAAATTATAAAAAGTGTTATATATCGCTTACATTTTTAAATTCTTGGCAAATCTGAAATAGATGGTTTTGTAAAAATTAATTTAGAATTTGGGGCAAGATAAGGTGATACTATCGGTAGTCAAAAAGTATTTCTAGCTATATTACATGATAAGAAAAATGTGAAAAATTTCCAAAAAAATAGCAGTAAGAAAATAGACATCACTATTTACAGATATTTTACCATACAGAGAAAAAAATCAACTGAATGACACATTATAAAATATGAAGATATACAAAATATAGTGAGTCTATTGTTTTTTACCCACTAAAAGTAAGAAATTGTCACCTCCCCAAAGACAAAAGAGCTTATTCACAAAAGCAACTCATACATAAATAGCCAAGAATAAAATCATCAGACATGCATAAGACCTAAACATATTTTGTCACAAAATTTTCTCTAAAAAATGTAAATTTGAAAACATCCCAAAGAAATGGACAGTTAGCAAGAGTCCTGGGTTGGATGAATCATTACAGAGGCTAATCAGTGATTTGTTCATTCATTCATTCTCTCATTCATTCATTCATTCATTCATCAAGATTACTTATAGAATATCTACTCTAACCCAGAAACCAACCGTGAGTCACAGACACTGTGGTGAACATTCCAGTTGGAGCTTGATACGCAAGCAAGACACTTCTGATGTGTAAAGACAAGAATGTATGAAGAAAAGTTTTCCCTACTGGGAGGGCATAATCATCATATAGTGAGCATGACGTGGTGCAAGATGAGAAAGAGCCACAAAAGAAAAAGATAAGGAA